TGCGGCGGTTGGGATGGGAGCTGGAAAACCGGAAGAAAAAAATGATGACCGCAATTCCAGTCGGGCATCAAGGCCCCGTTCCAGCACTCCAGAGACAAGCCAGAAAAGAGTAAAGGTATTTCCAGATATATTTAGAAAGTAGTGCGTGCATGGTGACGAATAATAAACCTTTATTTTGTACCACTTAATACTGTCTGGATAGATAAGGAGGCGGCAGTTTAATTTCTGGAGTGAGGCAGTTTGACACTTTCGGGATTTTTTTTTTTTGCATCTGGAATCTCTTGAATTAAATATTCTTTAGGTTGAATCAGAAGATGGTGATGGTGATCTGGAGATCGATGTGCAGAATGATGATCCCTCAGTAGCAAATGGTGTGAATTTGAAAAAAGATGGTCGAGAAAGTACTCATTCTGTGTCATCAGGAGATTCGACACCTGGTAAAACGCGAATTTCGAATGCCCTTACATCAGCCGATGCCATTGCATCGATGGCTTCTTCAGTGCTTGGCAATCCGGCCCTGGCTTCTTTTGCTGGACGAGCTGCTTTACCCGCGATGTTAGATCCACATGCACAAGCTCGTTTCATGGCTGGAATGAGTCAAGCTGGAGCGATGTCAAATGGAAAACCTGCCTATAGTTACAAAACAACAGAAAGCGGGCAGCTTCAGCCGGTAGCATTTCCACAGGATGCGCTGATGGGGCCAGGCATTCCGCGTATGGCACGAAAAGTTCATGATTTGCAACACGGGGAAGTGGTTTGCGCGGTAACAATCTCACATCAAAATCGGCATGTCTACACAGGTGGCAAAGGTTGTGTGAAGGTTTGCTCTTATTTATTTGCCTATTACATCATGAAATTTCTCGATTATTTTATCTTTAAACGTCTGTATTCTCAAGGTTTGGATATTCAAAAAGCCCATGTTCGCCTTCGTTTCGCCGATTCCAGGAAAGAATATTCTACTTATAAGTTATACTAGTGGTTTAGTGCAACACGTTTTTGCTATTCTAGTGAGTGTGTCGGATGTAGATGTTTACCATTCTCGAGAAGTTGTAGTGGGACTGATAAGCGTTTTCCACTATTTATTTCGTCCTGAAATCTTGCATTAATAACTGAATTGTTACTTCTAAGATGGTTTATGTGATTAGTTGTGATATTATAGAGAACAATGAAATATATAATTATAGATATGGGATATATCTAGAGCAGAAACTTCAAAAAATGCGATCTCAACATTAGAGTGCCTAAAAGATAATTACATTCGTTCGTGCAAATTATTCAGTGATGGCTCTACGTTAATCGTTGGAGGTGAAGCACAAACAATTACTGTCTGGGATCTGACGGTATGTATTTTTGCGTTGTATTTCTGTGATATATTAAGCTTTTCCCTTGATGATGCGATTTTTGATGTGCCATCCGAAGGAAAAATCTCACTAGCAATTAAGGATTTGGTGTAGAAGTTTTCTTCTAGTCATATTGTTTAAATAATTGCCATCACAGTGATCATTATAGTAGTAGTTTGTCATAATATATTCATTCTATGGCCTAAATAATAAACGGAGGAGTTTTAGACAGAGAAAATAAAAATAGAACTTGACAGCGAAGCACAAGCATGCTATGCTTTAGCGATTTCGCCAGACAATAAATTATGCTTTTCATGCTCGGCTGACGGAAAAATTATTATTTGGGATCTCGACAGCAAAAAAATGGTAATTTTTTCCACAAATATGAATTCGTTGAAGGTTTTTTCTTGATAATTTTCTAGGATCTCATCGTTTAATATTGTGCGCTACTTTCTTAGAGATTACCGAGTAACTATCGTTTCTCACCTTCAAATGTATCAGATTCATTGCTTACCCGGACATCAAGATGGTGCCAGTTGTGTTGATCTTTCAAACGATGCCGTGCGGTTGTGGAGTGGTGGCTTAGACAATACTGTTCGTTCATGGGACTTACGTGAACGAATTCAGTTGCAGCAGCATGACTTCCAGTCACAGATTTTCTCTCTTGGATGTTGTCCATGTGATGATTGGGTTGCTGTTGGCATGGAAAATAGTAATGTTGAAGTTCTTCATGTCAGTAAACCTGATAGGTCAGTTTTGTTAGTCAGTTTATTTATTATTATTTTTTTTTTTAATTTATTATTAATATTATTGTCGTTATCATTGTTTTTACTGTTGTTATTAATTATTGTCATTTCTATTTTTATTATAATTATTATGAAATTGTTAACAATTATTGTGATGTTTATAACATATCGAGATGAATGTAAAACTGTTAGTGAATCCAGTAATGTAAAAAAAAAAAAAAAAATCAGACCTTATGAAGAAATCGGAACGCGAAGAAAGTTGTGAGTTTAGTAGGGGATTTATAGATGGGTGCTATTATTTTTGTAGCTTTCACCCATGTTTAAGATTATCCTACTCTTATACATGGATATATAATGAGTTTGATGGAGTTGTTGAATAGTAGTTTATTACTTTGTGGTGAATTGTTAACATTTTTTTAATTTATGAATTAGAGTCATGAGAAAATGATAAAATATTATAGGTATTCGTTGCATATGCATGACAGTTGTGTCCTATCGCTGAAATTTGCGCACAGTGGGAAATGGTTTGTTTCAACGGGCAAGGATAACATGTTATGTGCATGGCGAACCCCCTATGGAGCATCGCTTCTTACAGCCAAAGAAAGCTCGTCGGTATTATCGTGCGATATATCCTTCGATGATAAGTATATTGTCACCGGATCTGGTGAAAAAAAAGCTACCGTGTATGAGGTGGGTTACTGATCTCGTTACTATTTCATGATTGTTTTTGTTGCCGTGATAAATTGTCATTTTTATTGGTAAAATATCTTTACTTTATCACTTTGTATCTATTCGTTTTGTCTGTCTCTGCTGTTTACACTATCTTAGGTCTGTTAAACTAATGTTTGAAAAGGTCTCTCTCTTGAAAATGTTTAACAGCTATGATATTTAAGCAGAGTTTCAAGTAATGAAACCGCAAGGTGCCAATTAATGGTCTATGCTATATTACCAAGAACCCACTGAACTACGTTCTATTAAGTTCGGGTCAGTGTTTTGCATTGTACAAATATTGGATGGAGAGGGGCGAGGTCAAATAGTAGTCTTTGTTTACTTTCTAACTTTCCGCATGAACAGACAAGATACTCCGGAGCAGAAACTGCCACGTTTAAACATTTTAAACATCACAAATTATATTCCCAAGTATTTTTGTAGAATAATTTTAGCCCCAACCTATTCATTTGTTAAGCTGTTCGAACATGTGGTTTTTGATTTAATTTTTGTCGGCACCGCTCTTAACTTGACAGGAAGGTTCAATGCTATACATTAGAATGCGGAAATAATGTCTTAAATAAGATTGAATGGTAAACTAGGATAACACATGGAGTCTGGGACAGGTGTGCACGCTACTTGGAGGTTTTTAGAGTATTTGGTAGTTTTATTGAACGGCCAACAGGATGTAGTAATGATTTCAAATAGTGTTGAGATGAAGCATAAGTCACTGAAAGAGCCTTTCCCATTAACAAATTCTTTAAATCTTTAGAATGTACTGGGAATTACGAAATCGTAAAAATACTCACTGGGGTTTTGGTGTCTGATGTTGGAAGTGGAGATATTTGCCTAGCTAGGAAGAGTTGAATTTGTGTTCTAGACATTCGTATAATTCACCTCATGACTTGCTTTTGCGCCATCATACCATCCCAGGCCTATGTTAATTGTTGTCTTTTTCGATATTGCGATTCGGACTGACAAATTTTCTAGTGCTCTAGAATATATTTAGGGAAAGGGGACAAAGATATTACCCCAGAACGGGTTTGTAGCGCAAATGCATTCCACCTGTTTCTTTTTTTTTTCGTCGATTTCATTGTTGGTATTGGGGAATCCTATACTTTTGTAATTTTGCTTGGCTTGTGTTGTAGCACTTTGTAACTGTTGGTCATGAGAAATTAATTTCGGTATGACCTCATTCTATAATTTTTGGTTCCACTTGTCATTTGTTCAAGACCACCCATCATAACTCGTTACTTTTAGTGATTGTTTTCAACCATTTACTTTGTTTTACTTCAGTATGAAGACAGTTTCAATTCCTATTGAATTTCACACTGTTAAATGTTTTTTTTTTTCTTTTTTTTTTTTTATGTCTTATGACATACATAACCGAATAAACTTTCCTAAAATTCTAATTTATGGGGACGAGGAGAAACGGTAGGCCATCCTCTTGCATATAGCTTTCCCGCGCGTTACAGTGAGATGCTTATTGCTAAGAAAACTTGCAATAATTCTGATTAATCATAAGACAAGGATTCATCGTGTTTTTGTTATCTAAATTTAAAGCTGGAGAAAGGGGGATGGGTGCAGCGGATTGGACAGTGTAGGGCCTATACAAGTCCTTATGCATTTCGGATAGGTTTGTTTATAAAGGTAGCAGGTCAATGTAGAACGAAATTGCAACTAATTGAAAACAATTGATTGAGGTAACGCACATTGCAGAAATCCCGCTTCTGTGTAAGAAGGAACCGTGAAAAAACGAGTAGCTGCCGATACCTATAAGACCAAAGCACCAGAAGGCTGGCGGTGCGGAGAAATCCACGTACTGAGAGGCAATGAAGTGGGTATAGAACAGTTGGTCCTTTTTCCCTTGGTCACTTCACCATAACCTTACATCAGGAAGTGGGAATCTAAGGATGTTATCAGACAGACAAGGGCTGTAAGAGATCAAGTCACAGAATTAAGAGGCATGCTATCAAACTGTAAGTGCAAGAAAAGAGCAGGCTATCATATAACTAGAGAGGTTTTCTCGGAGATTACGTTGACAAAAATCTGATAAATTCTATGAACGTCCTAGATGTACCTCATCGTTTCGGATAAGCTGCTATGCTAGCGAATTGCGTTTGGTAATCTCATGTCCCCAACACCCTATGTTCAGTGCACAAGTCTTAAAATCAAACGAAAAATATTTTAGAATTTGAGTGAAGGACTATCCCTCTCTATGCAGAATAACGAAAGCACCAAGAGCAATCAAAACCGCATATTTCAATTTGGGATAATCATTCATTAGTATTGTGACCATCCCAACATAAGGTACGAATCCCTTTGCTCTACCAACAACATCTCTTCGTGTCAGCCAAAACTGTCCCGACGCATATAAACCTCGATCGTCGACCTAGAAAAGAGCATGGTTAGAACCTACAACAATAAAACATTCTAAATATACGGTATAAAAAGCTAGTATATACAGGCAACATAATAAGAGGCATGAATATTCCATCTGGTCAAAAAGTGTTATTTGGATTCAATATAAAACCAAATTTCTAAATTTTCTAGACCTTGAAGTGAGTTCGATATTGAAACTATATATATATTTTTAAAAATTACCAAATCTAAATCGGAAGTCTTTAGAATTTTTTGTTATGGCTGTTAAATGTGTGCTAACAATTTGGGAATATATATTCTGATGTGTAATGAAAGAAAAAAATCATCACCTGATTATTATCACCTTTCGTTAAAAATTTTGTTTCTTCGTTGTTTCTCTCATGTACCTTAATAACTCGATGTACAATTGGAATATCACGCCCCTCCACTTTAAATACCGTAATATCACCAGCTCTGATCGGGTCCGAATCATCGTTTGTTAGCAGCAATAAATCACCTCTCAAAAAAACTTGTAACAAATGTTTCAATATAGATCATATCTAAAGAATGAATATATTCCATAATTTAGACAGCAAAACTACTTTTTTTCATGACGAGACTCTCCTTTTTATAAAGAATGCTTAAAACGTGAATAAAAGTTAGTTTTCTTTTTAATGAAAAAGCCTTATATCCACAATTCTAGCAAGCGAAGAAGATGGAAGTCCTCAGTGGACGATACGTGTGATAACGGTATTGACACTATATGTTAAAAAAATTCAAAATACCTGTAGAAAGCAGGCTCCATGGAACCAGACAACACAACCACGATTGGACTTTCAGAACCAGTAATAACCATTAAACCCTTCCAAATCATCAACGCTGAGGAAACAATCATAGCGAAGTTCAGGCCCTGATACAATAGTTGCCTAACGTTCATCCGCCTTACCTCATCGAATATTTGCAAATTCCAGACACCCATTCCAAATGTAGGACTTCCTGAAAGAGAAAACTTCCAACACTAATACGAATATATTAACAGTAGACTGGAACAAATTTGCAAACGTATTGAAATTTTACAAATATTTGCATAGCAGAACAACCTATTCGGAAAATGGCACTTTCGGAACACATCATTTTTATTGTAGGAACTAAACATACAGAAACAAAAAAAAAATAAACTCAGTATGAAAAATATACACCTTAATGAGAACAATTTCCACTTAGTGAGAGACCAGAACAATAGAACAAGAAATATATAATTCAAAGAATGAACTTTTCATTTATTTGCTGTTTTTATCGCTCAAACACCATTTGAAGAAAGAGCGACAAGCACAGGACTAAATCGATTCCGTATCTGTGACACAAAAAATAAGGAAGCAGAAGCTCTAGAAGTCAACTCTTTGCGATAACTTAATACCAGAGCAATTTACATCATATTTAGTTGTGGGCTGAACTACCACAAATCTTGATTTTACTCACTATATTAGCTATTAATATAGCAATATATGAACAAAACTGCCAACTCATACAATACTAGTAACGTCTCTTCTCATACAAAAATACTACTGTCTCCTCGAAAACTGTCTTTATTAAATAGCCAGCGAAGTCATCTGATGTTTCATTCTATTTTAACTTGATTTCGACACAGTACAATGTAATATAGAGTCTTAAGTATGCATGTTATTTAAAACAATTCTATGTGCTGGTGAAAAAATGAAATTACTCATTAGCGGAAAGACCAAGATAGTCATCCATCAAAGTACCAATAGCAAAGATATCAGAAGCATCAACTCGTGTACCAATGAGTTTCACACGGATTTCATCATCTTGCTTGATGACAACACTTTCATCTGCTGTTTTGTAGCATGGAGGATTTGAATTTGGCTCAAACTCCATATCCGGAGGAATACAATGACGACTTACGAAACATGAAAGGGGTCCAATGTCGCAAAATAGTCCAACCTACAAAGAGAAATTTTCCTAAAGAATTTACTTAAATTTAGAAAGCAAAATGAAAAAACTGAGAATATGCATGCATAATGTACTGATTAGGTTGAATACTGTGTTATGTCCTAATTTTTATAAAGCAATTTTGATTACTTAATTACAGCAGAAGGTATTATTATAATGTTACCTAATTCTTTTGCACGATGACACAAAGCAAGAAAAAAAAAAAACGAATTTTAAAGTCTAATTTTTAAAAAAATTTGCAGAAGGTCTCTCACTTTATTTACTTGATTTACAACTGCGTCAACAACTTGACCTTTGAATGGCCTGAACACTATGGCCTTGTATTTCACGGGATACAGTACAAAACCACGACCTGGAAAGGATGATAACTCACAGAATTGGAGAATGACTTTTGTCTGGTTATATGTGAACCTCCAAAAATCTAATTAAATGCAAGACTAGATCTCATTCTATGTTTGCCGAATTTTGTCATTAAATAAAACTAACAGCATAAATTATGGATTCGGATAATTCGGGTAGAATGGAAATGTAAGCAGTATATTCAAGACTTAATGACAGTACATAAGTACCTGGTTGGATAAGCCCTGCACCAATATTATCGATTGTAGTCACTGCAACAACAAAACCGTACTTCCCAGTGCAGGTACCTTCAACCTCATTGAACAACTTTCGTTTCACTGTCTCCAGCAAATCAGGGCCGAAATATTTAGGATGAAGGCATATTTCATGATCTAACGGAATATGATAGAACATGTCATTTAGTCTGTTTTCGGCCTTTTCCCTAAATCACCAGTAAGGATTAAACAGTAGAAACAATTAGCAAGACAGTTCCATTCGCCACAATCTGTCCCCTCAAGCAATGCACTACAGAGAATAGTGACAGCAGTACTTATAAGCAGCACTGCCCGCTCCCTCACCACCCCTACAAGAACGAACAAATCCAGCTGCAACACACATCAATTTGCAGGTGAGACGTAGCGCGGCCCGTGATAAATTGACGACGACGTATAGTTATTTGTTGGCGTAATTTTGGGGAGCTGTGGTGTGTGAATTGGAAAGGTAAAGGACTCTTTACCGTGAATGCTGTCGTACGTGAAATGCGTTTACAAAAGTTCTTTTGTCTATATGCCTTATTTTTCCTGTTAAAGTTTGTGTGATGTAGTACGGTTAGGATTTAATGTGAACGAGTAAAATACGGGAGTTGGGTTCTTGTATGTGGATTTCTAGTTATCTGAGGAAACTCCAGTTCTTTATTTTGATTGTTTCAGGTGACGTGGACGTACTGGTATAGTAAGGCATTCGCAGTAACTGAAGAGATTATACACGATGGTGCGGATGAGTGTGTTAGCAGATGCGTTAAAAACTATCAACAATGCTGAAAAGCGTGGTAAACGACAAGTTCTAATTCGACCATGCTCGAAGGTACTCTTTGAGAGTGAGAAAAAGATTGAAGAAGATTAAGAAACTATAGCTTGCTTTATCTGTTCTAACTTCAGTCAGTTTAGTCTCAGTTCTTGTCAAAGTAATATCTAAAGTTTTCGCTGCTTTGTGATTTATTTTGTCTGAGATTACTTGCATCTTAATTTCGGTATGCTTACAGGATCATATTATTTATTGCTTTCTCATTTCTCCACCCATTTATTTATCAACTGAGAAGAGTGAATACGATTGTAGAAAAACTCTGCTTCGGATAAACACTAAATATATTGCTGATTGTTACAGGTAATAGTACGTTTTCTAACTGTAATGATGAAAGCTGGCTATATTGGTGAGTTTGAAATCATTGATGATCATCGAGCAGGGAAAATAGTTGTTAATTTAACGGGTCGCATCAACAAATGTTCCGTAATTAGCCCGCGTTTCGATATTTCCTTGAAAGATTTGGAGAAATGGACATCCAATCTTCTTCCTTCACGGCAGTTTGGGTAAGCACTATTTCACTGGATATGCATATTTCACGTTACTGTATGAATGGTAATTGCAACTTAAAATTTTTGGTGACATTTCTTGAGAAACGATATAGTTAAGGATAAGGCGCATTTTCATCTTACATTGTAGAAGTGGTATCTCAAAATATTAAGAAATTCCCGAATTCATCAAAGTGAAAAATAGAGAGAGCTTCTATTGGGATATTTAGAGAAAAACCATTTCTTAAAAGCTGAAATCTATATAAATTAAATGTATTTTAAGACACCTTGTGTTGACAACTTCGGGTGGAATTATGGATCATGAAGAAGCGCGCAGAAAACATCTTGGTGGAAAAATTCTTGGGTTTTTCTTCTGATTGCTCTTAAAGATGATTTTATGTTTTTGTTTTCCAAATATGTTTTGACATTCAGAATGGAATAAAAATAAATTTTATTACTTGCTGTTCTGATTTCTGTAAACATGATTTGCAAATTTGCAGCTTAAAATTTACATTGAAAAAACAAAAGCATGAGGCAAATTTGATGAAGCATCATAGGTTTGTAGAAAGTGCGAGTTCAACTTTTCAAATTCTTAATAGTTAAAGGGTATATTACGAAATTATTACCACTTAATCAAAATAAATAGTATTAGTGATGCTAACCGGTGTTGCAATTACCAGCTGCACCCGTAGTTTTGTGAAAGGTTAGTTTAGGGTGATTTTTGTTAGGAAATGACTTCAGTGAATTTCAGAAAAGAACGACAAAGAGCTTGATAAGGATTTGAGGTGTTGTACGTTACGCGGAACTAAAGTAGATTTTTATTATTGCGAGTTTAAGTTCGGAAAGAGGTCTATGCGACTGTCTTCAGTATGTGAAACTCAGATATCTATATCAAAGCGGGAGGGAGATGCTTTATCATAACTAGGTGTGGAAGTCAATAGAGTATGCGGAATGTGGTAAAGGTTATTGAACACTTGCATATCCTAATTCTGCAGTTGGTTCTCAGAAATTTTTCACAAAAGAGAATTTTCGTTCAGACCATACTTTCACTGTTTCAGATCCACTGCAAGGATTTTGAATATCCGTAATTTACTTAAAATTTATGTGAATGTGGTTATTTAATTGTTGCATTAATGGATTCCTAATATTTACCAGACTACAAATTATAAATATTGTTCAAGCAACAAATATACCATCGCAAGTGATTGAGCTGAATGATAAATTCCTTCAAGTGAAGAACGATGGCCTGTGGTTTGTTGACGTACGAAATGTTTTAGCTTATTCTAGATTGGGTAGGATAAGTTGAAGTTTAACTGTTAATTTTATTGTTGATTGATTTGATTATTGGAAATCTAAAGCATATTTCTTTCCATTTTTTAGATCAGTAGGTGTGAATTAGCTTCAAATGCATACTAGGAGAGACAATCTTATTCTAGCTAATAGTTCTGGGGGCACGGCTGTGAGTTCACTTTTTCTCAGAACACAAATATAAAGAACTGCATTTCCTGACTTTGCATATCATATTTTCGATTTGTTAAGTGATTTTTCCATGTATTTTCAGTTCTATGCTCCTTGGTGTGCACACTGCAAGCGTTTGACTCCAGTTTGGGAACAAGTTGGTCATGCATTAGCCGATCGTCAGTCCCTTGTTCGGGTTGCTAAACTCGATTGCACTCGTTACACGAATACTGCTTCTGCTTTGAATATTCGAGGATATCCGACGATTATTTTGTAAGTTTTGACTTTTTTCGTAGTATCATTAAAGAATTGTCTGTGCAAAGAGACTTTGCTTTTTTTAGAATTTTTTAGTTTCAAATTATGTTTGTTTAGTACTAGTTGGATCTCGATTTTTTCACTAGTGCATTCAAAATTTATTATCTGTTATTCATTCGCAACTTCCACAGTACAGTTTCCGCAATGGAAGAGAGATGGTTTATGAAGGCGAACGAAAAAAGGAAGCAATCATTGACTTCGCAATAAAAGCTGCTGGTCCCATGGTGGGCATCATCGAAAGTGTTCATCAATTATCACAGGTTTCTTTCCTTTCATAATTTACTCTCATTGTATTCGATTTAAGATTTTTCTGTTTGTAGATATGTCGACAAGGTTTTTGTGAATTGACACGTGCTTCGTCAGTAGTCAGTCTTCGTCAAATGTTTTAGATGCGAAAAGATTTGAAAGAACCATTTTTTGTGTATGTGGAAGAAAACCATGATGCACAGCTTCTTGAATCATTTGATAAGTACAGCGATATTGCCGAAATGTTGTTTTCATCAACGCGATTTTATCGTGCAAAGAGAGATGTGTTTCCAAAATCCGTTTCGATTCTTGAAATTCCATCAGTTCTTGTTTTCAAAGATGGGGAATATTTAACTTATAAAAGAGAAGGTTAATTCAGTTTAAAAGAAAAGATTAATTCAGTTTTTGTTGTTATTGCTTATCTCTTATTTTTGTGCCTGAATATAATCTGGCTACCATTCTATGAGGACGGACTATCATTTAATATCAAGCAATATATTAAAGCCTCCAAATTTCATTTCAGCATATGGAAATGTGTTTACAAGGGAGTAGCAGTCTACTTGCAAAGAAATAGAACATTAATAATATTGAAGTGGAAAATATATCATGAGATAAATAAATCACTTTCAGAACAAATGGTTTTTTTTTTTTTTTTCTAGGAAGGAGTTTAAGTGACTGGATTCACAGCGAGCGTTGGTCTTTAATACCGCTTATCACCTCAACAAATGTCAAAGAAGTTGGAAGAATGCGATTACTGGTTTTGACAGTCGTAAATATGGTTGAGAGGAGGAATTATACAACTCGAGTAGGAAAGTTTGTTTTAACAAAGTTAATGAATTTCAGATCGAAGACCTTTTAACTGTGTAGAATTTCAAAGTTTTTAGTTTCCGAAGTCATTCGTTTTTGTTGATTCTCCTCGTTTAGTTTTAATTTACATATTTAGATTCTTTTCGTTGGTTACTAATGTAGCCCAAATGGTTCGTAAAGATTCCTATCTTTCGAATATTTTCCAATTTGGTTGGTTGGATGGTAATGAACTAGCAAATAATGTTATTTTGGGTACTGTAAATCAACCAGGCAAGTAATACTGTTATCTTTATATTTTTGGCATTTTTACTGAATGCGTTGTCCATTGTTAGACTAGAAGAAAAGTTTTTCGAGTGTCTTGGAATGAATGCTATTGTGTACTGAGATTTTAATACATCATCCTTCATTAACAGTATTATCGCCGGGAGAAATGTGCTTGTCTTTAAAGATGTGCCAACAGTAGCAGTGCTTTTCTGTTTAGGTTTACTGGTTTTCAATGTTACGAGTTATGAATATTATTCAAGCAATGATGCCGTAAGCGTTATGACGGAAAAAAGTATTATTTCATTCTTGGAACGGATAGCAACAGGTGATGTAGCGCCACTTGGAGGACGTTCGTTATCACAGCGTTTCAAACGCTTGTGTTTTGAGGTATGGTGTTTTTTTAATTCCGATTCATTTCTAAACATCAAATTTTTAGTTATTTCAAGTTAAAATTTTTTTGGTTAGAACTTCATAATTACCGAATATCAGGCAGATCCAGATTCTGCTGTTCTGGCATGAATTTGTTATCCACTTTGTTTTTCGACATTAATTTATTTCCTCTAATTTACTACCTGAATTCCAAAGCAGTTTTTATTGAGTTTAAAGCTTATTTCTAAAGGAACACCTAACAGCAGGTAGAGAGAAATAGGCAGTAGGTCCGTAATTCTATTGTACAAATTAACTGTGTTTCTACTTACCAAAATACACGCAACTTAGGAATAAATACTATTGATATAAATTAATACTGCTGAAAATAAATTAGCACGTAAGGAATTTTCATTCCTTAAAAATTAAGCCCTTCACTTTCTTCATGCATCTCCGACAAAAGTTTGAAGGTAGAATTTTTATTATGATGTACATCACAACGAATTTGGTTCGTAACGCAATTATTTAAAAAAAAAAAAAAGTGGCCATTTGACGGCTGGAATAAGTAGATTCCATACAGCATTAGGAAAATTGAAATGAATTTTATTTCAACTATTGCTTTACTTTTCAAATTGAGTTTAATTTTTTCTAGCAGGATTTCAGGTTTTCACAAACATAGCGGAAATGTTCAGAGCACAGCCTCTGCTAACACTATGTTTACTTGGAGTGCCCTTATCTTTCCTTTCATTAATAACTTACTGTATTTGCTCAACAGATTTCTCAATAGACCGTGATGAAATTTATCCGGATGATGATGACAGCTTTATATCAGGTAATTATAAGACTGTAACTTAAAGGTGAGGGAAATGTCAGGGAAAATTGAAGGTGACAAAAGTTCTAACATGAAGAATTGAAGATGACGAGAATCATCAGAAGGAGGAGTAAAAGTTGGATGTGGAATCCTGCAGTATGATGAAAAATATTTTCCATAATAAAATTTATGGAGAGATGAAATCCAGCAGAAGCGTCGTCCGGAGCGGAGAATTTGAAAAAACTTCAAATATATATCTAATTTATCTTATCTGTATTTGGATTTTGTTCTGACTCCGATCTTGAAAGTGTCGAAAATTACCTACAATACCTTCTCAAAAACAGTTATTATTTGTCATTATTATACACAGTTTGGTTTATATGCTATGTTGAAATACATCTAATGAAAAGAGCATTGCAATAAGCTCATTTTCAATCTCCCTCTCAAAAACATATTTGTCGAACTTCATTAAAATTTTAAAATCATATTTCTATAAAATTCACTGCTTTATTCTCATAAAAATTGTTTCTCAGTTTGAGAATTGATAAAAAATGTCTGTGACATCAATGAGGACAGTGGGTGGACAAAACTTTGTCTACTATCACCGTGCGATAATAAAAGAAAGCATTGATGAATATAAAAACAGAGTACAGACAGTAAGATTACTATGAAAATAGATGATTCTGTTATAATGAGCATAGAGAAAAATAGAATGGTTCCTGCTATTCTCTTTAAAATGCAAGGCTTGGATACATTTATCTTATGTACACTTATTTTACAGTATTTGTAAAGCTGGAAAAATAGGCTTTTTTATAATAATTAATAAAGTAAGACAGCCTGAACTTGACGGAGATCTCGAATGATCTGGAATTTACGTTAATTTGGACCCAAAAATCGCAAAGTCGGTTTGAGCTTCCCACAATCATGTTGTAAAGTAGTAACAGTATGTTTTCTGCTCAAGTTGTTAAAAAAATAATATATCGGGTAGTATTACCAAAGACAATGCCAAACAAAGAATAATGAATGAAATTCAAATAAAAATATTGGAAGTTCAAATGTGCTTGAATACTTGACCGAAGGTAATTGAACTACCTGGTGCTATTTATTCACTCTTGAATAGATAAGCGAATGCAAGCAGAAAAAGTAAAAACACAGTAGCTGGTAAGTTTAGATGTAGGGAGTGAAACAAAGAGAAAAAATCAAAGATAGCAAGTCAGGTGTCGAAATTACAATTAACAATTTAAAATGTAAATACCAACAAATACAAACTCATTGAAATAACGAATTGAAAGCGCTGTGGAAATTTCATTTTTGCAAAAAGAAAAAAATAAGAAATGGAGACAGCATTAGAAAAAGCTCCTGGGAAGGGACCGAAATGCGCTTTACATATAAAAATGCAAGAACACGAAATAACTGAGGACTAAAAAGAACAGATTCTCAAGAAATTTCAGGTCGGTCATATTTCCTATCGTGACCCTGCGATTTCAGCGCTCATAAAGTCACTTAGCTCCGCTATAATTGTAAATGGCCTAAAAATACTATGTACAGTCAATCTACAAAACCGATTAAATACAAGTACCCGCAATATGCTCTCTTCACTTTTTTGTATTTCTATTCAAAACAACAAAAGAAAATTAGGTTATACCGTAGTTTTCAGTTCATCTTATTTATACCTTGCAAAGCATTGCTATAACTTACTTTCAAGAACTGAAATTTCCTTTGTACTTTCAACATATAAAAAATATACATACTGAAGACTAATACTTCAGGTATGTTAAAAAAATCTAACAAAATTTAAAAGTTCTTTTGCAATGCTATTATGCCTAAAAATAAGTGATGAAAAGCAGTGAACGATTTATGATGAGGAAAATCTTAAAATAGTTTATAAAACTTAACTCACTTCCTCACCAGCAAATTATGAATATTTTGGTAGAAGATAACACTACCTCAAATGTGCAAATAAGAATAGATATAAAATAACACAAGAGGTGCTGTGCTAACAAAGCAAGAAGGCATATTTGTGTGTCCTGAATAAATTAAGCAATAATTCATAATGGTTTAATAAGGCCCATGAAGGGATACTTGGTCGAATCAAGAACAACATCATCATCAGATACGTTAGAATCGAAATCATTCAAAGGAAGGCGCTCAAAACCATCTCCCCATCGTTTGATCGATTTTATTTTATGTACAACGCTTAATCGGTATAAACCAATCTGAAAATACATTTCAAGACTTTGTAATTTTGATAGCGAAAAATGAATATGTATGAAGGATATGGTGAGGAAATAACCCATCCATTTCAAAAGTTTTGAAACAAAATGCCTTATATCCTAATTAAATCCATTAGTTATTATTTTGGAAACACTAGCAAAATCAGAATAATCACGAATATTCGCTTATCTATTGCATCATGATCGAACTAATTAAACCTTTATATTTAACTCACTTCATAATTACACTTTTGCTTACTTGCATCACTACCATCCGGAAACAAATTCTGCCCTCTTCATCATGGAACATTCGGATCAAAAAAATCTAGTTACATGAATCTTCCAAAACCAACAATTTGAATTTAATGTACTTCATAAACTTTAAGGGACGGTTATAAACAGAAGAATAAGAATATACACTTACAAAAACAAATGCCAACATGCAAAATGCAGTAAACGAAATAAAAAGATTTTCCCTCTTGAACAACGAAGAAAATGCGAAGGAGGATTCTGTTAACAGTATGTCATGCACAGCTTGCTTAGATAAAACAATCTGCAATTATTTTAGGATTAGAAACAAGTAATGATCTGAGAAGAAATCTTAAACCTGAGAATTAAAGAATCTTCAAAAAGTTGATTTCGAATTATTTTCAATATTACTAAACCTTATCAAATAATTCTACGAAAAATAAGTTTATGTAGAAAGTTATTCCATACTTGGGCGAGATTTTTTTTTCTAATTGAAATAACAACATACCTTAGCTGAAAAAGTATACTGATAATAACCCTCCTTATGTACGTCAATGGTATGAACTCCAGGAGATAACCAAATATAGTAACAGCCATCGAGTTTCGTATAAAAAACGAGATTGCCAACAGTTAATTTCACCGGTGCTTTCACTGGATTACCGTCTATTTCTTTGATAGTACCCGACAAACCTTGTACTCTCTACAAAAGTTTCTCACATAAAAATAGTGCCAAAAAAACATATCAAATAACAATTGATTAGTGATTGATAGGATATAAAACTATGAAAGATGGTTGAAAATGTTTTAAATAAAATGACCAATTTATGAAATAACATACCGCTTCTCTAATGGAACTCTTAAATAAAGAACAAAGAAGTCTAAAATTTCAAATTCACAGAAAATGGGACCTTAGAAATAGTCGATAATAATGAAGCCTTATTTTCTGCGTAAAGATTTCCGCCTTCTTCAAAACAACAGGCTACTTCCACAAGCAGAATATCTGGTGCCTTTTGCCAATGCTCCATATCCCATTGTAGTTCACTTACAGTCGATACTGGCATAAAATTATTCCTAAAAACAAAGCAAAGAGATAAGGACAAGTAGTTAAAAAGAGGAAATTAATGATAGAAAATAGATAATTTTTAAGTATTTGAATGCCTCAGTTCTTCAAGTTACTAACTGCTATATCTGATTTCAAAATTTTAATTTCAAATTCATGAAGTTTTAATTCTGATACAGGAGGAAAAAACAATTAAAAATCTTTCAGTGTTATGCAATAAAGGGAAGAAATGAAGAACACAAAATTTGTGCAGTAGACAGTTTCATGGATCGATATGTATTTTTTCAGATATTCGGAATCGATTTACAGAATATTTACCTGCTACACATCTCATTCCCAGTTGGTTTAATTACTGTATGTTGTGAAATGTAATTTAATGCCAAATCTCTGGTTCTTCCCATTCTGGAAACATCACTGTAACGCACTTTCATCCCACCTGTACCCAATAATATAGCATAATCGATAAGAGGATAAATATCCAAAACTTGTTCAATGAATGGTTTAAACTGCATCACTGACACGTAATCATGACAGTACAATTGTGTGTATGGTATGCTGGGAATTAGAATTAGCGTTGATGTATTCAGTACTTCACGAACAATCCGGTATTGCAACAATTCTAAACAAAGATCCGCTGCAAAGTCATAAACCACTGATGATGTTTTCTGAAACCAATTATTTGAAATTTTGATTTTTCTGAAAATCTGCTCCTTAATTACTTCAACTGGATGACTTAACTCCGCAGTTAAATCAAATTAAATCGTAATTTTTTTGAATGATCCTGTGATAATAGAACTTGTGACGGGAAAAATTTTACCTTCCTTTCTATTTTATATTTATCTAAACCTACGTTTAAGTTTTTATATCTCTCTATTCTTCATTTTAAATACTGGAGGAAATGCACCTGTTCAATGGCCATTACAAGAATATACGGCATGCGACCATCACCAAATACCATAGCTTTCATCAAACCAATGTTGATCATCGAAGCACAATTCTCTTCTTCTATACGCTGTAGATTAGCACCACTTGCTTCGGTTGCCTTTGCTAATAAACTAGCTCCCAAATCAGTGGTCGAATATTCTGTTACAGGATCTTTCATACCAATAAAAACATTTACTATAATCTGAAATTTAAGATTTGGAACACGAAGAACAAAAAACACCAACCAAAAAGTACTTCTGTGCTAGCAAAAAATCAATTTTAAAATCTTATGATTGTACCTGTAAAATAGTAGCAACAGCAGTAAGTGTTAATTGTGGGTCACTGAAGTCACAACCCAACGAAATACCTAGTTGAAATGTTTTTACCACATTTAATGCATCAATCATCGATGAGACCGCTTTATCTAGCATATGATTAACGCAACTAATTGTTTTACTATTCAGTGCACTGCAAAAGCAAAATTGTTACATGAAGAAAGTTAATTGGACAAATCGGCTTTCGAAATTCAAATATAAAGTGGTAGAGTGTTGGGTTTACTAATTAGATAGTTTTTATTTATATCATAAATGGATAATAGATAATAAGGCTATCAAATGAAGTCCCGTATACATTATCAAAAACAAATCTAATAAAGAAAAGCTACACAAATAATGACTCACACCATTAAGCTGTCATCAAAATTTTTTTGATCAAACTGACTGGGAGTATTGATACCAGCACTAAATAAAGTTGATTTTGGTATTCCTTGTCCAAACAATAACAGCACATCCAATTCGTGATCCTGTGATTAAAACAGTAAATCGCTATCAGTCTTTAGAATAAGAAAAAAGATCGCATTGTTGCAAAACGTGCACAACAACATATGAAATAGAATGTAATATATATATATATATATATTTGCCCTAACAGATATAGCAACTATTCGGCTATTATTATTTGCGATCAATATTACTTTTAAGGAAAAATAACCTTCAGATAAAGAGCACGTTCTGCCGACATCGATGGGAACAAATGTAAAGTAGATTGTTGAAGTATTTCAACAAACAAGTCCTCCGGTAAGCAGGTAGCATTTGCTAATTCTTGAACAATAGACTTCCCCAATGAATCGACACCAAACACCGCAATACGTACTGCCCCTTCTCCTCTCACACGAATACTATCAACTGCTTAAATATCAATTAAAATGAAATAATTTGTACTGTTGACCCACTCTTTGCTATAGAAATGAACTTTTGAATAGTAGACTATGTAAAATGTTATAGTGCACTATATTAAAATTAATTAAAAACTACCTCCAAGCATTCCAAAGGTACACATTTTTTTTTTCTTAAAAAATTTTTAAGAAATTTTCGTCATCAGCTTCAATAAAACATTACTTCGATACTAGTAAAACGTTTCAATGATGAAAACATGTTAGAATATTTTTAAACATTAGCAACATAATTTATGAAATAAAAACTAAACTGTTTTCCCTGCACAGTTTTTGTTCTAGTGTAACATTGATAAGTTTTGCAGATCCTTCATCAACGGTAATATTCAAAATTTGTGGTAGGTACTTTCGGTGACTAACCAACACCTTAAAACAAAGAAAAGTAACTGGTCCATTTAAAGTGAATAAAACTTGAGGCATTACAATTTTTATAAAATATCAAGAAAAAATACCGTGTATCTACCAGGCAGGAGAATCCGCCAGAACTCGCCTTCATCCGTTGTTGTTATATTCTTCCCTTGATTAATTGATAATACAGCATTTTTGACTGGATGGCCCCTTTGATCAAGCACAAACCCTCTTATTCCTAAAATAAAATAACTTGATTAACTATGAAGAGCTAAATTCGGAATTTACTTATTTCAAGCATCTAATCATTCATCTCTCTCGTTGTACGAGAATATTTTTTTAAAAAAGCAATTACGAGAACGAAATACACAAATCGATAGCAGAAAGATAAAGTCGTAAATAGTAAAATTAAAAAAAAGAAGTAAAGAATACCTCGATGCACATACTCCATATACGCAAGAAGTGAATACTTGTGTTCATCCCACAGTTGCGGCAACATGTTCTTCTGAGGGAATTTGTAACAACCCATTTCGATGGTAATTTCCAAGCAGTTTGTATTAACATATTGCCAATCTTGCATCCCACCAGCTACATGGTACCAGAATGCACCATTTGTGATACCATTCAAAAAGAAATCACCGTTAATATTCAACCCACATCTTCAAATTAAAAATTTTTAAAAGAATTTCAATATGAATGCGATCCATGAAGTACTGGAAATGTTGAGTGTTGACTCGGAAAATTCCAGTTGATATAGAAATGGAAGGTAAAGATTCCCAGATGTTAAATTATAAAAAAACATTGGCCACCTTCGGCCGGTTTTCCACATATTAGAATGTGCTCGAGCATAGGAATATGCTAAAGCTACGAAAAGACGATCATCTACAGTCGGCGAGTAAATGTTATCCTGCCCTGTCGTCGAATCATCATATGGATAATTAGCTACTAAGGAACCTGAAAAGCTTATTAGAAAAATTTTATTCCTTACAAACTTCCTTATTACCCAAGAGCTATGCCGTTCCAAAAAATATAGCTAATTTTCATTTCATTTTATAAACAGAAAGAAAGACAGAGAAATCAGCAGCTACATCACTCTTTCCCACCAAAAAACAGAAATTTCAAATCGACTGAGTAAGGGAATTTCAAATCCACTTTTATTTTTTTTTATTAGTTTTTCAGCTATAGAGAACATTCGTCTTCATTTTGTTTTTTTTGTTCTTTTCATTTCATTATTTTTTTCTTTTCTTTATATGATATCCACAATCCCAAAGAATTGTTGGAAAACGGATTTCTTTTCAAAAAATCCTTTTTCTTTCAAAAGTTTCAAAAGACTTTTCAACAAGTGCAAGACAATGAGGAATTCTCAAATGTCGTCATTTAGCAAAAAAAAAAAAAAGAGTTCTATTAAAATGGAACCTCCATGGAAATTAGCAGAAAGGACAAATGGATATTGCCGGAACCACTTAATTGCTGCTATTGTTTCCTTTTCGAGAAAAATTCCTCCAGATTTGTCTCGATGTGTGGGAAAACGTGCCGGAAAATTCCGATTAAGATCAATACCATGATCATTTGAACGACCCTGCAAAACTGGAGAAACACAATTTTACCGAATTATCAAATAAAGACGATTAATGAGTAAATAATATTACTGCTATTATCCTGCTGTTATCACCTTTTATTTTTTATCAGCTTAGTCTCTAATTAATCAGAAATGGGTTCAGAATAAAAACTTAAACTTACAGTAAACCCAGAACGGTCACCTTCATTACCGAGTTCATATCCATCTGGATTTATTGAAGGCATTATATGGATTCTCAAATTATTTACCAAATTCGTCAAGTACCAGTTCTTTCCATAATTATCACACAATAACGCAATAAGATAAAGCATTGCTTCGCGGCCTACAACCTTAAATATTGTATGAAAATAATAGCTTACAATTATTCTTCCATGTACCCATTGTCCAAAAAAGTTGTATAAAAAACAAATGCTGCAACTATGGATACAAATGATTATACTAAATTATTAAATTGTGATAAGAATGAATAGAAAATGAACGTGTTTAAAGTCCTTAAATGGTTTTACCGCCGCTTTTGCAAATGTACGATAAAAGTACAACAAATAACAATACTTCCAATTATGTCTGTCTTTTACTAAGAGGGGAAACTATTCTATTTGCATCATAGATAAAACTGCGCTTGATATAGTTTTGCGACATTTGAATAAATATAATGGCAAACTGCTTGTCTTCCAAATGTGACTACATCTATAATGACTCCAAAATATATTACGTTTTGAGCTGAGATAAAAAATAAGACATCTAAAACTACAATAATCTAAATCTTTTGTGTTTGATTTTTCAAATTGCCAATACCACAAGACTAAGGATTTAAATTAATAAACAAAATACTTCATTCCCATGCATATTTGCGACATATTTGATTTCTGGAACACCAAGCCTGTGGGTCCGCGGAGTTCTTGAAATAGCCAATACCCATAATGTTTTATTCCTCACACTTTCGCCAATTGAATATAACCATGTTATGTTTGGATATTTCATAGCATATTCTTTGAGCCAAGCCGTCATAGATGAATAATTGTGGTTGGAAATTCTAAAAGCAATAACAAAAGTAAGCAGGATTTTCTATGGACGACATTCTTTTTTAATTTCAGTTGGACTACCCAATCTCATAATTAGTAAATTATTGGTATCTGTTTAACTTGTGACTTAATTCGCTAGAGAAAAGTTGAGAATAACCTTTCTGAATTAATATCCTTGAACTTTCCCACACGTTTCTGCATATATTCACGAGAATGAAAAATCGAAATATTTTCTGATTTTTTACCAAAGTAGGTCCATAATGGACCAAGATGAGCAAGATTTATTTCTTCTGGAGTAGCAACAATCGCACTATCCCAATCTATAGCTGAGATAAAAATAAATGAGACGACCCATGTAATCCACGCTGTCCATGAAAAGATAGAAAATGCCATCAAAATAACGAACTAAATTAGTAAAAATCGATTAAAGATATAAATAGAATCCATAAACAAAATGAACAGCGTTAATAAATAACATAAAAATACAATTGTCATACGAATCGAAGTTTGTTAAATTAGGAAATACGAAATTTCAGAACCATGTCTCAGTTAAATGTAAAAAGGGGTAAATTAATTAAATAAAATCCACTTTTCTTTGAATCAATGATTTCTTTTCTAGATTATGCAAAGAGTGCCAAATGGGTACTTGATATCTAATCATTTAAACTGTTAACCCTAACAGAAAAAAACACCGCCGCGTATTACACTGCACGTGCGCACACACATTCAATTGGAACTTCGAAAAGAATACTAAAACCATCTATCACACAAGGATAATAGAAGGATAGCACGGAAACATAGAATTAAGCGCTAAAAAAACATAAGATGACAATAACAACGTCCCTGGTACTCACAGAAGCCATAAATTCACTTGTTCATTCCAAAAATGTAAGTTACATTGACCTGATATGCAAATCCATTTGCTACCATTTTTACACTCCGTCCATCCAACACACTTTTTCTCCTTTAGCATGAACACACCACACATATAATCACTAAGTGGTCATAGCGCAAATCTACGTGAACTTACTACATCAAATCCCAAAGCAGTTGAACTCCGACTTACTCTTGCAACAAATCCCTTTCCCTGCTCCCATCTCGAGAAGCCTTGACCAATATTTTCTTTTTTTTTAAAAGATAACATTGCTAAACATGTAAAGATTGAGTAGAATATTGATAAAAATTTTTTCCGAAAAATAACCCAACAATAACCCACAGTTACACTCTATACCTTTATAGCAGTCAAAAAGAAACTTTTATTAGGATGTTGTCTATGCCAATTAATATCTGCTCCTTATTTTCTGTCTTAAATATAAAATTAAAAACGAAAATTGGTGACAAATGTAATTGATAAAAAATGTAATATACCTTGAAGTAACATTTTCAAAATCATAATAAACTCTGGTTTTCCTATACAACGATACCAAACTCGCATTTTACTTAAAACGCAGAACAGTTTTAAGAAAGAAAAGTGGAAATCTTATTATATATGAACTATCAAAACAAAATCCACCAACAAAGTATCATCTCAAAAAAGCATTAAAAGCATTATTCATGAGTTCGACATATAAGTGTTTACACAATGGGCATCATTCTAATAATCGAACCATGGCAGCATGAAGCCGCTTTCTTTCGCTCTTCTTTAAATGTTAATTTATTACATTTCTTTTCAGCTCTTCGCTCAGCTCGAATCATTTTAATAGATGCTTTCCTTGCTTTTCGCTCTTCCGCTGTTTCCCCACGTCTTTTCATCGTTGCTGAGGATACCCTTGAAATTGCTGACTTAGTTCCTGATTGAACTGAATAGTCCATTTTCTGCAGAAAATTAGGAATTTAAATTCTTTGACTTGCAGTGTTAAACCGCAGTAAACGGATGTAAATGAATTTTGAATGATTTCGAAAAAAAAGAAGTTAATTGCAGCGCTGTTTATCACCTTAATGGAAACTTTTTTTAATTTGTCGAAGGCACAAGCTTCACAAATTAACCAGCCATTGCGATATAAGAACCGTTAAAATTAGATTATACTTATTAGAAAACCATTCAAAATATTAAAAATAACAATCAATAGGAAGTTCAAAAATATGAACCAAAAAAAAACCTTGAATTTTTGAATTTTAGGAGAATAAATAATACTTAAAGTAAACAAACTTCGATTTGCCTTAGAACCGATTTCAATTTTTGTTTACGTGAAGAATCAACAATGACAGCAGGCCGATTATAAATATTGGAATAAGCGGAGACAGCTGTTTCGCAATCCCATTTGATTTTTTTCTTTTTAGGACAAATTATTGTGATCTTCTCCATCTGTTCATCAACCTCCAGCGCTTCATCATTTGTTTCGGGATAACACTGAGACAGTACATCTTTTTGCTGCAAAAGTTTAAATAAAATGTTTACACATAACATTCCTTTTTACAGTTTTATTCTGCTTCCTATGATGATCTAATTATTGAACTTCCAACGATAAACCATAAAACAATATTAAAAAAGCCCAGTTTATATGTACGTATCACATAACTATGAAGAAATAAAAAAAAAGACCAGAACAAGTTCCATTCTTTTCTTTTTGAAATCTTCCACAAGCATTTTCATTCGATCAGAGCTTGGATCCAAAAGAAACTCCTCTGCCTCCTGAAATCCAATTCAACTGAATTCTCGACCCAGAAAGAACTCAGAAAATTTCACATATAGTATGAGGAATTAGTATCAATTTCGAAAATACTACCTCATTTTCATCTTCTGTTTCATTGTATTCCTCATATAATTTATCGAACTGTTCATCAATCGATCTCAGTTCATCCTTATTTTCTATATGGACGAAAATATCTTTTTCCGACTTGTGATCATCATAGCTTGAATCTGCAGAGATAAAAAATGATTCCCATAAATACAAAACCTGGTTTTTTTTTTTTTGGAAAAGGGGGGGGGGGGGGATAAAAAAAAAAAAGAAAAACAAAAATCAAAACTTGAAAAAATTATTCCTCATTAAACTATTATGAAAGATATACTGAAATCCATTTCTTCATTGCTATCGTCATCACTATGAACAGCTTTCACACGAAATTCGTTCTTCCTCAATGAAATTGATATCGGTGGTGGTAGCACAGGTAATTCACCACCATTGGCTTGCAAGACGAAGTCATCATCTAAGTCATCAGTTGGGTTTTCAAATTCGAAATCATCACTTGTCAATTCCGCAACTATATGCGGATCGATTTGCATTTCATCTGGAAGAATATTTTCTCAATAAAAAACAATTTTACAATTTTTCTTAGAACTCGTGAAAATTTTTTTCTCTTGTTTTAATCAGAAACTAACTGAAGTCATTGTAGCATAAATCATCCAGTACAAAGATATATTGTCATATATTAATTAAAGCTCATTTCTTTTTGCGCATGTTAGATTCCTTTGCATCAATTCATTTTGTATTTTATTAAATAGTATCATACATAAGCCGTTAGTATGTAACGGTTTGTTTCACAATGATACAGATGTGAGGATTTTCCTCATCTGGAACGGCCATCATAAGAATTAGGTAGCAGAAAGGTACCCAACTTGAACTTGCAGGTCTTGTTTCTTGGAATTTCCCAGAAATGTTTAAAACAAATCATACAAGGTATAAAAATAAATGAAACTCGAAAACAACAGGTAAGACTGAATATGAAAACATCTTCTGAACATACGCGGTAATGTTCCCATCTTCAGTAATTCAGCATTGATTTCATAACCATTTGCTTCGAATATGTTTGTTAAAAGATTTGTTTTCTCCACAGGTATTCTAATAATTGACTGTCCTACTCCACTTTCTGTTACCTGCAGGTTTATATATTACTTTCGAATAAAGCATCCATCGTTTTTCCTTTGATCCTACTGCTCATTTTCTATTATTTATTAAGTATTAAAGTTATATTCAACTAAACTTACTGAACTGTAACTTCAGTATCGAATAGGCACTAGCAAAATAGGCAATAGATGTCGAGATAAAGAAATGAGAGAAACGTTGAAATTTTGAGAAAAAATTTCTAAATAAGCCATGTATTCCATAATATTCATGCATTGACACTTTCTAAATAATTTTTCAAATCTAAGTTGCTGTCAGTGCAACTTAGCTTATATATAAAACACTAGGAAGTCAAACATCCTAGTGTTTTATATATAAGCTTTGATTAATAAAAAGAGAGATTTGTCTTCATATTTTGCTAAACAATCATTATAATCTCACTGTATTACCTACGCTACCCAATCAGTAAATGAATCAAATGAATAAAAAGTCAAATTAAAAAACTACATCGCTTACCTCGTTCACTTCTTTCAAATGCTGCAAATAATTGTAGTCATCATCAAAGTATATGCCATACTTGTCGTATTCTTCCATATGCTGTAACGGGAGTTTACATAAAATTACTTAACATAAAGTGCAAGTAGTCCTTTCCAAATCCCTACCGCTTAAACGAATGACTAGAATGGCTAATGGATATACCTGTTTGACAATTGTACTAGTAATAGTCTGTTCATGTTGGTAGTCATTTACTCCATTATTTTTTCGAAACTTTGTATACACCAATAAAGATATATACTCAAGTAACTGCATATTCATCAACAAAAATGATATTGTACGGTGAGATTCATTAGTAATGACATTCTCTTATGTTACGGCCGAGTACATTTAACACTTCAGAAAAGCTTTATTGTTCACATTATTTCAATTCAAGAGTTACCACCTTTTTCCTAACCAACTGTTGCACAAATTCACCGTCACGATATTCAGCATTTTGATTTTGATGAACCAAATGAAATGTTTTACAATGTTTTTTATCAATCCATTTCTTGTGTTTCGGCTGAAAAAATCCTATTCGAAGCGACGATATCTTAAAGCTATTTGGGCACTTCAATTAATAAAAGTAAATATTTAAATTCATTCTTTAGACTACATTTTTTTGTCATCACTATGTTTTACACTCCCACAGTGTACGCTACAAGAAATCTGAAAGCAAATCGGTGTGGTAACTATACCAGTTTTAAAATCTTAAAATCAGAAAGGGGAAAAGAAACCACAAGATTTAAAACTTTCAAAGTGCTATAACTGGGTTACAAATTAACGAATTTCAGCAAGGACATTCTATATTCAATCTGTGAATGTCAATAAACATTACCATTTCCACTATACGATTGATCTAACTAAGTGATAATCAACCTGAAATAAAATCAACTATAACAAAAACATCAGTTAAAATAAAATTTTTTGAATTAAACACAAGATTCCATTCGTGAGGATACTTTGAAAAAGGTTACTTCACGGTACCATAAAACCTGTAAGGTTCAAAGCTTACGCCAGTGTTTCGCATTAGGTTCCAGATATATTAGACTTTTGTAAGAAACTCCCCAGACAATAAAAAAGAAGCATGCACATAAACAATAACGACGAAAAGAAAAAAAAAATATCGGAAAGCGTGAAAGAGCAGCGGTCGGAATTATCGCGGCAAACCGTACAATGCGACATCGCTTTGTCTCACAATCATGTGAAATATTGATTGCACCAGACTTCATGAGATAGTTGGTGGTTCCTTGATGTTCATTTGAAGTACTTCCTGCTTAGGTAACTTCAAAAATGTTGAGTCTTCACATGAGAAATTAAATTTTATTCGCTTAAGTTCGTCAGACTAGACTTATTGACTTCATTGCAGACAACAGGCATATGCATAGTAATCTGATGACTGGAGAGAAGTTGGATGGTTGTGCTATGTGAGGTGTTGACTGAATCGATTCAAAATAGAAACGAACACCGATCGGTTAACGCATTCCTTTAATCGCCTTTAGAACTTTCACATGGACGTCGTCTATGATTTTGTCGAAGGTTTGCTTCTTATTTGCATGACTATCCAATTTCTCCGTTTAATATTACCTTACTTCCTGACCTTAGTGAAAAGTTCGTTTTCCCCTTCTGCTGCAATTATACATAATTCTGCGGTTCAGTGAACAGTAGGTAAGGCAGTCCTTCAACCAGCCATTCTTTATCATTCTTACCGTCTATATCGTATTTCTCTTGCTCCTGAAATTTGTTCTTCAGGCATTCACGTTTTCATACCATTGATTGCTGTGCTTTTTATTGTAGCAACCTTATATTTTGGAAGGAATGGTGAGAACAAGTCGAAATCAGAAAAGACAGCCACAGGTCAGCTTGTTCCCTTAACCTGTAATGTTATATCAGGATTTCCTGACCTAATGATCAGGAAATCTCACTGCACTACATTTCTGTTGGCGACTTTACGGGAATTTTAACATATTTTCTTCAGAACAAAAATCTTTTCCAGGAATATCCAAGGAATCTGTATCCGAAAAATCAAAGAACGACTAATGGATGAAACTTCATCTACACACAGAAGCGGCTGAATTATTTACAAATTAAACTCTATGACAGTAAGATCGTACATGTCCCTGTCGAAGTTCTCTAGGGCTTAAATTTTTTTCTCCTTCCATATTTAATATTGAATAGCGATTCACCTCAATGTTTCCACATTGAACAACGATTATACTTGATATGTTGCAGTTCTTGAAATGTAATAAAAATATGAACTGTGTTGATCTTTCAAATATTTTTTGGGAATTCTTTTAACAAATTGGGTATTTTTTTTTAACATTCTAGAGCTATTACTCAAAAAGTGGAAACTGGCCATATTTAGTGCGCAGTTTCCGGGTAGAATTCCCCTGTTATTTACAAAGGAATTTAATCTATTCAACTATAATAATAATGAGCAAATCATTGTAATTCTATTCTAGATTTCCTGTTGGTCTCGAAATATCAATTTTAAAATCGAATTTTAAAAGTAAAATGATTTTTATCAAATCACAGTATTAGAGACAAGCACGAAAATGCTGAAATTCAAAGTATAAAGCTCATGGTAATTTAACAATTTGTTACAAAATTAAAAATCCTGATAAAAGCCTAAAATAAGGACTAATGGGATAAATTGAAAACGGGGACAAGATGGTTCTTTTCCTTTTCTCTCTAACCCTGAAATGATTTTATGGCTTTTTAAGCAGTTAGTCCATCTTATAACAAGAATTCTCATTAACAATTTATGGAGGATTTTGTCAAACAGGAAATGAGTGAAATGTTCGATTAAAAAAACAAGAGGAAAATTGGTGCGACCACAAACTTTTCACTCGTTTTCCCATGAGAAGTTTAAGATATTTGTAAATATTACACAAAAAAATCTCAATTCATTGGTAGAATGTGAGCCGGGAAATTTCGGAAAGACTTGTAGCGAATTTAGAAGCATACTGGGTAAAAAAAGTTAATAAGAGGCGAAAAAAGACCGTTAGCTGATTCAAGGCGATATCAAGGATATGGAACCGAAAGCTTTTTATGAATGATGATTCATCCCTATAGTTTCCTTTATAAACTGTGCAAATTCACCACCGTCTTCCGCATTTGCATGCTTTATAAAATATTCATGATTACTTAATGTTTTCAAATTGGCTCTTTCAATGGGATTCTTTTTAACACACCTTCCAATGAAATCAATAAAAATATCACTGAATATATTCTTTGGCAACAGTGGTGGTGCCTGAAAAGGATTTTTAGAGCAAGACTTTTTAAACTTCGATTTTACTCCATAAAATTTCGAAGGCCGGACTCTTTCATGCTCATACTGCTTTTGCTGTCATTCTTCAACATTAGAAGGTCGTTATGGCAATAATTTCAACTAAAAACTGACAAAAAATCATGAAATTAAGATTACCTCATTAACAATATAGTCAAGAAGCTCAAAAATTGCCATCGTCCTTGGTGTGCATAGAGTGGTGGATGTTGGTGGTATCGTACCTTCTGGGAACTCTACTTCTTCTTCTGGAATGTTGAAGAGTTCAGCATATTCTCTTGCTGTCGGCGCTGGCACCGGGTATCGTCCGACTGACAATTCTACAAGCGACAAACCAAAACTCCAAACATCCGATTGCACATTGTAATGGCTTCCTGTCAATCGTTCCGGCTAGAAATGATTAACAGATATGATTAAAACACAAAATTTGAAATCACAAGTCTCACGGAGAGAAATTTTGCGATTTCTTCGACAAAAAACAAACAAATGAAAACAAAATGAATCTCTCACAAATGAACTAAACAAATGAAAACAAAATGAATCTCTCATGAACGTGAAGAGTCTATCGAAGGCACCTACCGCCATGTATGAGCGAGTACCGACGAAGCTGTTAGCCATGCTGTCAATTAACATGCCCGAAACACCAAAATCACATAATTTTATTTCACCATGACTATTAACCAAGATATTTGATGGTTTGACATCTGAAATTTGACATCACAAATTGCAGTTTTTGTTTTAATCGTTTTTCCATGCTGTTATACACTGCAATTTCCTGATTTGATGACAAAAAATATGGTTTGACCTCGATGCAGTATTTTATGCTCATCCTTCAAGTATGATAATCCGCGAATAACTGCAACAGCAATTCGACCTACACGTGATTCTTTTAGCCTACCAACCTGGAAACAAAATGTTGCGAATCTGAAAACAAGAAATGAGAAAAAATAAACGCGGAATGAAAACAGTCAGAAATTCGAATCCTACAAGAAAGTTCTTTCATTTTTTTCACTAAATGTTAACTATAAGGCCAAAAGATTTCTAAACAAAGGAAAAAAAAACTTTTTTCAAAACAACATCCAAAGATAATCCATCCATGTACTCCATGCATATGGATATATCGTTGTTATCAGTGAAAGCACCGTAAAATCCAACAATATATGGACTGTTACATTTATTCAACACATCCAGCTCCTGCAATATTTTTGAGTAAACAAAATTCGCAACTTTCTCATTGGGAAAAAAATTTAACAATTTTACAGCATAACATATTCCAGTTGTCTAACGCCTCACGGTGGAATTTATAGATCTCAGAAGAGAACCGACCATCTTGTACCTTCAGGATTTGCAACCTCACAGATGGCTTCACTTCCAGATGAACCAATTTTCTGGCCATGATAATCTTACTCGATTTATGCATTACTTTACTTACAACACCGCCATTACCATGTCCCAATTCACACATCTTCTCCAACATATCCTCATTCAATTCATTTAATGGTACCTGTAACAAATGAACTAAGAATTCATTTCTGGAATAGAAAGAGAAATTGGTGCTAATTAAATTAGATAATTACAAACAAATTAACTAACAAGTCTTTTCTCTTCGATCCATTCCTGCATCCGCAACTTCTGAGGTTCGGTGAGTGTCATTTGCTTGATTTGGTCTTCCAGTGAGAAGGTACCTTTATCTTTTGTCCCATCTCTCCTCAAACCAGCCTTCTCTTTAACTGTTGCCGGCAAACTCAAATTCAGTGGATTTTTTCGCCTGCCACCAACACCGGACATCTGCTATTACGCCACGGTCGTTACTTCTGAGAAATAGCAACCTGAGTTTTGCATTATTCCTCGGCTCTGTGAAAGATGAGTGAGTAAGACAGATACCTAACCGTGATCAATAATTACATAGGAGAAATCATGTCGGTCCAAGCCACAGAGCTACTCTGACAGATCCCACAAGCAGGTAAATGAACTTATGTTGACATTCTGTCATCTCTTTCCTATTCAGACAAATTGTGCATCTTCTTGGTCTCTCATTTCATATTGTTTTTCATCTTTAACTGTCTCTGTTTCCCTTTTCCTCACTACTCACACTCTACTCAAGTTGTCTGTGCAAAAGTTTATTATTCACCGCAGCGTTGTATATCATCGCGACACTTCTCCGCCACTCACACTGGACAGCAAGATGTTATCATTTTCCACTTTCCCCCCTCATTCAATGCTATTTCGCACTTCTCTGATTGCAACAGTTCGCAATCATTGTGAGTTCTCCCCGAAATTTACAATTGCACGTCGATGTTGACCTCTCTTAAGTTCATGAAGTTCGCGTTTTGTCTTGATAAGTTAAGGTATTCGATCTCACTAACGCATGTGACGTGACCTGTCTACGTTGACTTTATGTAAAAATTGAGAATTTTTCATTAAAGCATCTCCTCTGTTCTCTTAATGGAATCACTATAAATGACTGCAGTGATGGTAAGATTAGCAGCACGTAGATGAGGTGACTTCACGTATTCCCGTAACTGAGAGTATACGTAAGTGTGCATTGCTGATTGATCTTCACTGTCGTTCCAGCATACGTCAGATAAAGTCTCAGCTTTATGGGCCTGGTAAAAGAAGCACAGTTAATGCTAGCTGTCAAATTCACCCTTATCCAAGTCATTTCCAGCTCGTACCCATGTAATGCTCTTAATATATTCATAAAGATATTATATGAAAATGTAGTCAGCCTAAGATAACTTGTAACTTATGTTGTCGTTTCTGATGATTATTATATATGTCAGGAAGAACAAAGGTTGTTTTTGGCAGTAAAAGTAATATAATTGGTATGGCTTCAGAAACAGTTTCATTTCGAGATGCCGTCGGGAATGTTGATGTAAATTTTTTTTTTTTAATTCTCCCTGTGGCGAGATATTAAAGGTTTTGTATATGAATGATTAAATTAGTCCCAATGATTTGTCGGTATAATTTCATACGACCATGTCTCGGTGAATACTACTATGGAAATATTATCTTATGATGAAGTACGATTTTATGAGGACTTTTACTAATAGTAGAAGTAATAGTCAGAGGTAGATTTTTCAGCAAAGTTTTGGGATTCTATTTTTTTAAAGTAAAATAAAGAGCGATTTGTGATATTGATCATCCGATTGTTGTGGAAGGCACTTCTGTTCGCTATATTCAGATCACTCTCGAAATGATAATAATTTTAGCTTTTGGATGATTTGGTACTTTTGGACAATCAGCCATGCATCGAAGCACAGCCAATACCGTTAGAATATCGCATATCGTTTAACACGAACTTTGAGGACCGAAATGCTTACGTGACAGGTGTTTCCAAGTACATTGAGGAAGCCACGCGACATGCAGAATTTGTCAGTTTACTTTACTTTTCTTCATATTGTTCAAGTTATATCCTAACGTTCTTACGAATTCGCTGTCATTATTGGTTATTGAATTAAATTTTATGTCATAAGGAATATATCTATTTTCTGTAATGATTTATTCAGAATGGCATGTTATCAGAAGGTTTTGAGCATGCTGCTCATTTGTATACCTGGCGATGCTGTTCACGAGCTGTTCCTATGGTAAATTTTTTACTTTAGTTTCAATATGTTTAATGAAACATATTGAAACTAAACTAAAGTTCAAGTATAGATAAGTTTTTCTCTTTACATTTGAGTGAGGATAGAATGCCAAGCGAGAATCGATTTTAAAAAAGTATATTTCAAATTTCCATTTGTTCAAAATTGACTTGAGTAACAAAGAAATGTTTAGCTCTGAAATTTTCAGGCAAAATCTAATGACCAACCGAATCGAGTGGAAATAAATGAAAAAGTTGTTGAAGTATTGAATCCTGAAGTGGAGAAATTGCACCGTTTTATGCATTTTGCGGTGATGTATTAAAATTTTATCCGTTTATCTGAATAGCATTTTTGAACCATTTGGTTGTCACCAACATTCATCTTATTATTTAGAAATTGTTTTATTGTAGAATAAAGCAATTGCACGTTTCTGTGATGAAATGAAGCGTTTGTGTCATCCCGAGAAACGAAAAGATTTTGTATCTGAGGCATATTTGTTAACACTTGGGAAGACGTTGAACATGTTTGCAGTGCTTGATGAGTTGAAAAATATGAAAGCATCAATTAAAAACGACTTTTCTACATTCAGAAGGTTAATTTGATAGTTAACTTCGATACTATCAGCGATGCGATTTTGTTTGATAAGTTTAAAGAATGTCCATATTAAAGCACTGTTGTGATGAAATGGTTTTCCAGGTCAGCTCAATTCTTACAAGTTATGTCGGACACAAAGACGTTACACGAAATGCAGAATTTGAGTATGTTTTTAGCAACGCAAAATAAAATCAAGGATACGCTTAAAAGTGAACTACAGTCGGTTTGTTTAAGTGCAGTTTTGTTCAATCGTAAGATTTTTTTTTGCTAGTTAATCCGTTCATCTATTACTTAGATAGGTGTTAATGTTGCCTCACTGCCATAGTTTCAAATTTTTTAATATTTCAGTAAAGGCTATGCTCTTGAACTGTTATTCATCTTCGAATTGAAACTGACAGGACTTCAAATGACAGGACAGGAGAAAAAAAAAATCAAATGTGTTGGCTAAGGACCTCTGCTTTTTGTTTGCTTCTACCGTATTTTACTGTTACCAAAAAGTGCTGTTCTAGATTGAGAGCTACGAAGAAATCTTGGCTGATGTTGTTAATATTTGCGTAATATTATTTGAAAATCATATGTACATTACTCCGGCCGAACGGCACATGTTTGTTAAAGTATGGATTTTCTCATTTTGTTTTTCACGCTTTAGTTTTCGCGTCAACTTTTAAAAGTAATTTAAAAGTATGCAAAGTTTGAATCGTTTGCATTCCTAGAAACAGAGTTTTGGTAGTATTTTTAAAATCTTTGGAAAATACAGGATTTTCAAATTCTAGGTAATAGCTTTTGCATTATTCTTAATGGACGGCGATAGTGCAAATGTTTCAAAGTTAGATCAACGTAAACGAATCAGTATTTCTAAACTTGACAAGATTTTCCAGGTCTGTTGCTTTAAATCTCTGTATATGTCTGTATATTATAGTCTAAACATAATAAAGAAATGTAAGATTTCTTATGACAAAGTGTAATGTATGGGTAGCTAAACGTTTTATATAGCATCTGTTTTTCTAGAAAATGGAAAATGGATGTTAATGAATATTTTCTGTAGCATTTCAAGAATTATAGAAAAGTAAGTCTTTGTTTTCAGTCACTTGAAGTGGTGCCATTATTTGGCGATATGCAAATACAACCGTTCTCATTTGTTAAAAGATCACCTTATTTTGAACCTTCAAAGTGGCCAAATGCAATCAACGAAGGTAGATTCCAACTGATATTTTCTGTTAGAATCGGACTTGTAAGGTTTTATTGTAGATTTTCAATTCAAATAGACTATTATTACTGATTTTCTTTATTGTATTTCTGCTACTAATAAAGAATGCAAATCAATACGTTAAAGGTGAAAAGTGTCATGTTAATATAACGGAAAGATTGAAAACAATGCGTGAACAACATTTGGAATATGTAACAAATCTCTCTCGACTTAATAATGAGGTGGTTTTTCTTAAACTTAATAAATGTTTGGAAAAGTAACTTCAATAAGCTTGAATAAAATGTTTGAAAAAAGTAATGAAGCATTTTTTGACCATTCTAATAACCCGAAATTATTTAAAATTTCTTACTTTTAGGTTGCTATCTATGATAGAGATGGACCCCGTGGTGATGACGAAAATCGAGAAATGACACGATTAATGCTAAGTGGTGTTCAGCTTCTTTGTAGCTGGACTAGCGATGTTGTGGAAACAGTTTCATGGAAATTGCTTCATCCAACTGATCATCGTACTAATTTAGCTTGTCCAGAAACAGCCGAAGAGTATGAACGAGCAACAAAGTATAACTATCAACCTGCCGAGAAAGCGGCACTGATTGAGGTTTCTTATTGAAAAGTACAAAATCTTGGTAATGCATTTTTAATTATATAAAATATTTTTCACTGTTTTTATGCAAATTAGGACCATAAATGATCTTTGTTTCAGTCTGTATCAATGATCAAAAGCGTCCAGCATATGCTTTCTAAAATGGAACCAATTTTGAGTGTAGCCGTAAGAAAGCATATCTATGCCGAAATGCAGGATTTCGTTCAGATTACCTTGAAAGAGCCACTTCATAAAGCTGTCAAAAATAAGAAGGACTTATTGGTGGGGTAAGTTTATTTTCCAGTAATAATTGTTAATTGTTTATTTCTCATGACGATAAAGATAATGCTCCACGAACTTTTTAAAAGTATATAGAAAATGACCGATTATTCATTTAGGAGAGGATTTTGAGTATATTCAAGATCTAATTCAGAGCTATGATAATTTTATTGCATAATATTCTCAACTTTAAGTTTTTGGATGACAATTCTCGTTTTGCTCTTCACTGTCCGCTTCTTTATTTACTACCCTAATAATTATTTTTTCAGGATTATCCAATCAATATGCGATACTTGTGTAGACAATTGTGCTGGAAATTTTGATCCGCATTCTGTTGAAATGGGTAAACCGAAAAAACAGCGACATTCTGCAGTAGGATCAATTAGTGATATTCGTGCAACACGAAGATCTGTTGCACCAAGTAGCACGCAGGTAGCGCTAGTTTATTTAATTTCATATTTCATTTCTAATATTTTGTCTCTGTCCCGTCTTCATCCAATAATGCATCGAAAGGGAAGTTTTTCATCGACAAATTAAGTAT